TAACACAACTAAAACTGAAACCCTAGTGCTAGAGTCATAATTTTGTATTCTGCTAGACCATCTTATCTATTACCTGCCTCATCTCTGTATCCCCCCCTAATACGCACCCCCCATAGTTGAGGGCTATAGGAGTGTTATTATGTCTACTAGTCAAACTTACCAGAGAAGTAAATTCTATGCCTACTTTGGACCTAGTGTCTAAGATACTACCACCAGACAGTTACTTCATAAAACAAAGGAACTAAAAATTAATTTGTTCCTTACTTGAGTCCTGCTTCAGATATTAATTCTCGGCTTCAAAGACACAGTTATGCCAGTAAGTTCTCAATGTTAAAATTTTTCCCATAGCTTTGAATAGTATTGATGTATGAGATTACAAAACATGACATAAGTATAAACTTTATTTCTGGGACTTACTGTGATAATGCTATAAAAAAAGGGGCAGTTTAAAGTAAATTTGCAACTATTCATAATATCTGTGGCTCTGTTAGAAAAGACTGAGAAAACCACGTTTGTGCATTGCTGGTGGGAATGTAAACTGGAACATTATGGGAATTCCAGGAGGAGAAAAGAAAGGGACAGAAAGTATACTTAAAGCAATAATGGCTAAGAACTTCCCAAACCTGGGGAGAGAAACAGAGATCCAGATCCAGGAGGCCCAAAGGACCCCAAACAGGTTGAACCAGAATAGAGCTCGTACACCAAGACACATTATAATTAAGTTGTCAAAAGTCAAAGAATTTTGAGAACAACAGGAAAGAGAAAAGTTACATACAAGGGAGCCCCATAAGACTATATGCAGAATTCTTAATAGAAACTCTTCAGGCCAGGAGAGAGATGGACGACATATTCAAAGCAATGAAAAAAAAAATGACTGTCAACCAAGAATTCTACACCCAGCAAAGCAGTCCTTCTGAAATGAAGGATAAAGACTTTTCCAAACAACCTGAAAAAGTTCATCACCACCAGACCTGTCTTAAAGAAATGCTAAGGGTAGTTCTTTGGAAGTAAAAGAAAAAAGTTAACATTACAAAAACACAGAAAGGTTTAACTCTCTCCAGTATAACTCTCACTGGTAATGGTAAATATAGTCATGGTTAGATTCCGCAATATGGCAATAGTGGTACATAATTCACTTACAACTCTAGTTTAAAATTCTGCATTGAGTTATTACAAAAAATAGAGAACAGAAAGACAACCCTAGACAAACCAAAGAAAGAAAAGATCCAAGTCACACGTGTGGTCAATTAATTTATGACAAAGGAGCAAAAATATACAATGGGGAAATGTTAGTCTCTTCAACCAATAGTGAAAACTGGACAGCCGCATGCAAAAGAATAAAATTTGGATCATTGTCTTACACTATACACAAAACAATGAACTCAAAATGGATTAAAAACTTGAACATAAGACCCAAAACCATAAAACTCCTAGAAGAAAACATGGTTATAAGCACCTTGACAATAGTCTCGGGGATAAGTTTTTGGATTTGACACCAAAAGCAAAAGTAAACAAGTGGGACTACATCAAACTAAAAAGCTTCTACACAGCAAAGCAAACCATCAACAAAATTAAAAGACAACCTATAAAACAGAGAACATATTTGCAAATCATATAAGCCTGATAAGGCATAAATATCCAAACTATATAAAGAACTCATACGACTCAATAACAAAAAAAAAACACAAAGAATCCTCTAAAAAAATAATGGGGAGAGGATCTGAATAGACCATTTTCCAAGGGAGACACACAGTCAGCCAACAGGTACATGAAAGGTGCCTAAAAATATTTCCAACCGTCTTATCAGCGAACACCTTCAACTTTTGTTAGAGCCAAGACTTGAAGGCAGTCATGCCGGGTTTGTCAAACGCATTACGAGAGGTATTAGCTCTCGACACCCCCGCCCACCCGTTGTCACGATTCAGTGTGTGGCTCCACCTGCGACACCGTGGAAGCCGAGCCTTGTCCACAGGCGCCCTGTCCGCGGACAACCGGGGATAAAGCGCAGGGTTTCCTTGAGGCCACCGCCCAACACACACACCCGGGGGCCACGCGGCGGGCCTCCAGGGCGGCCCCGGTCCCGGGCTGTGCGAGAACGGCGCGCGGGCCTCGGGCCCGAGAGTGAAAGTGGAGGCCGACCTGCGCCGCCGTCTCTGCCGTCCCCGGCCGAGAGGGTGGCGGGGGAGCCCCAGGCTCAGCGCCCCAGACGCGCATAAACCGGCGTCGAGCGCCCGTGCCGCTCGGAGGCGCCGCACGCTCAGTGACGCAGAGGCGGGGCTCGGAGACGGTTGGTGATTGGCCGAGGCGGCGCGTCCGTCTGGGCCTCGCAGAGCCGCGCGACGCTGCCTTGGGAAGCTGAGGTGTCTGCCGCGCGGCCGCCGCGCGAGGCGGCCCGGAGTGGGAGGTTGGGGCTGGGGGAGGAAGCGATGGCGTCTTCCGGCGAGCACCGTGGTCCGAGGCCGGGCCTCCGACCAAGCCTGAGCTTCCCGTCTGCGGGGCCCGGCATGCAGGGCCGGAAGGACGACTTCGGTAGGTGGGCGTGCGGCCGGGGCGCGGAGGGGCCGCCGCGGGCCTCGTGTCGCTCCGGCCTCTCCGTCTCTTCTTTGTTGTTGACCCCGCAGGCCTCTCAGGCCCTTCTTTCCCCCTTTGTCGCAGCGCTTCGGGAAGGGAGTTAGCAGACATGGGCTCCGGGCCTTGTGAGTCACAGAGCAGTCATGACGTCAGTTCAGAACTGCAGTCCGTGTGCGTGTGTGTACGTGTGTGTACACACACGTTTATGAAAACGCGGTGGTTTGTTATTTCAGAGTATTTTGAACCTGCCGCATTGCTTCTCATTTTCTGCCCATCTCCTGATGACTCGCAGGTGAGAAATCGCCCGCCAACAATGCCTGGCTTCAGAGCTCCCGGGTCCCCAGCTTTGCTCAGATGTTGAAGAGGAACTTGCCGGTTCCGCCGTCAGCCCAGATGGTGACTACACCCGCTGCCCATTCCTCGGAAAGTTGCACCCTGTCGAATATGGCATCCAAGGTTACACAGGTGACAGGTAGGACTCGTTTTTTTGTTTTCATTTGCAATAACGCCTAAGCTGTCTGAGACTTTGGGATGGCCAGTGCGTTCTTTTGAGCCTCCGGTTTAAGTGTTTCCTGGATATATATGTTCATGGACCTGTGGCTGTCTCCCACCCGGAACTCCAGTTGCACTCCCACCTGGAGAGGAAGCCTGTAGAAGTTCTTCCCCTTACTGGTCACTTAACTGTTTTTTGCCAATTCGCTGTTCACGCGTGTCTTGCTATGTTGAGGTGAGGCTGTGTTGTCCCTTCAGGGAAGGGATTGGACTGATGCTGGTTTGTAGTCCACGTATCACTTAATGTGAAGTATAAAGCAGGGACAAACACACTGTAAAAATTCGGTTGAGCTCAGTGTGAGCGGAAATATAAAATAGTCAATGGGACCCAGGTCTGTGTCTCGCCTCATTGGTGACATCGTGTGTAAAAATGGCTTAGAGTGCTCTGGAGATCTTGACATTACTAAAATTCTAGGATTATTTGATATCACTTAATGGTGTGACAGTGATAGCCCTTCTTTGCAAAATAGCCTTAGTACTCCAAAAGACATGTACAGTAGCAGAGCGCCCTTGTCATTTGCTCCAAAGCTGTTTAGTATTATAGACACTTGTATGTAATGAAAACATGTATGACTAAGTGTGTCAGGGATAATCTCCAATTTTAGGAAAGGGTTTCGTGGTTTCACTTGGCTTGATTTCTTTATTTTACCAATTTGACAACTGTAAACATTTATTTTTAGGTAATTTTCCAGAACCATTGCTTTCCAAAGGCCTTTCATCTATTTCGAATCCTGTCCTTCCTCCGAAAAAAATACCTAAGGAATTTATAATGAAATACAGACGTGGAGAGATAAACCCTGTGTCAGCCTTGCACCAGTTTGCACAAATGCAGCGAGTTCAGCTTGACCTGAAGGAAACAGTAACAACAGGCAAGTGCGAAGTTGTATCTGCTATTACAGAATTGGAAAATATTTTCCCATTAAAAGCAGAGCATACAAGTGGTACTACATTTGATTATTTCCTATTTTCATGTAATGTTGGGGTTAGATAACTACTAGCATTTCTGACAAGTATATATAAAAACGAGAAGTTTTTATATTAATATTTAGCCTTTTGAGCCCCTGCAAATAACTCATATACAAAATTTTTATAATGATTGGATTTTAATTTTTTTTTGCGTATGGCTAATTCAGCTGAAATCTCATCAGCCTGGTGGATTACTTTCAGGTGTAAATACTTGTAGAATAATCGTGCTTTTTAAGGATGTTAAATATTTGGACTGTGATTATCTCATAACATCCTGAGTGGGATTCTATGATGTTGATGCCTAACAAAAATTATGGTCAAATTTGGCTTCTGAAATTCAAGGATCAGAGGCAAAGACAGCACATGATTGATACGTGTCTGCAGACCTGACTATTTTCTTCGTTCTCTAAACCTAGTCACTTTGTGACCAGTGACTATGAAGAACTTTAGGAAAGTGGAGGGATAAGAGAAGAAATGCTCTCAAGAGGCCTCGACAGGCCAAAAATGAGAGTCAAAGAACCACAGTCTTTTAAAAAAATCTTTATAAGTGTACATACATGCATGTACATGTATGTGCTGTATACACACACACACACATTTTCAAGTAGTTTGGTTATTTTAATGTTAGTATCTTCCTGATACTAACTTTTGCCAATATGGGTCTCAAAGTTAGAATCTTTGCCAAAGAATTAAAGCTTTTGAGACTAGT